ATAGTAGTAGGTATTAATTTTAGTCTATAATCTTATTTAAGATACAATAGTTAATATAAAATTACTATTCTTTACCTACCTTTTTAATAAAAAGAACTAGTACTATAGCTAAGGAAAATAATGCTTAAATCTACCTTTTATCTATTAAATCTATAATTTATTTCTAAATTTTAAAGAGCTAGTTATAGGGTATATTATATAGTAGCGCCTATAAAAGTTCTAAGGTAAAGCTATTAAGGTTATTTTATAAGTGTATATAGTAATTTAAATAGCTTTAGTGTAGTAAAAAAGTACTTACTTTCTTTTTACTAAAGATATTTATAAAATTTTATAACTTAAATAGAAGCTATATAGTAATATTATTATTTAAAGGGATAGGGCTACTTATTATATTTAATAAAATAGCATTAATCTCTTTTAAATTTATTACTATAAAGGTAATAAGTATATTTAATTTAGCTATATATTATACTAAGGCTATATAAATAGATTTTAATACTGCTATAGTAGAGATAAAAGTGTAGTAGCTATTTAAAGCTTAAACTTAAAGGCTTAATTAAGCTTTTATAATAAAATAGCGTTAAGTAGTGTAAATTTTAATTTTATTTTATAATAACTAAGGTAATATAAGAATATAGTTATATAAAAGACTTAGGATTATATAGGCTATAATAGAGAATACTTATCTATTAATATTAGCTATAAAGTAAACTAAATAGGTAATATATAAGTGCTTTATAAGGGCTTATTTTTATTTTAAAGTAGCTTTTATTACTATAGTAACTTAATATAATATAGAGAGAGGGATATATTAAAGTTTTAAGCATTATATAATATATTTACTTATAGTAGTAAAACTATTATAACTACTATTAACCTAAGTAATAAAGAATGTAATATTATTATAGAGAATAGGTAGGAGAAATAGCGGTTCCTTTATATAGCCTTCTATCTCTTTATATAAATACATTAGGTTATTAGAAAGTTAATAATATAATTTATTACTAAATTAATACTTATTATTAAGACTTAAGTAGTAAGTATCTCTTTTTTTAAGTTAAACTTAAAAGATTTACTTACTATCTCTTTATTAAAAACCTTATATACTTAAATAGCTACTTTATTTAAATAATAAGTAAAAAAAAGGTTATAACCCTAAATATAGTATTTTACTATATTATAATATAAGTACTAGCCTACTTAGCGTTACTATTTAATAATATTCTATTTTACTTATAGTACTTATTTACTCTTTATTAAATAAAGTATTTTACTTTAAGCTTTATTTTTTATAGGCCCTTTACTTATCTTTAAGGTAGTGTTCTTTAAGGTAGTAGCGTTAATATTAATTATAGAAATATCCCCTTTATAGTCTTAAGCTTAGTAACTATATTAATAAGCTTTAGTGTATTTTTTTAAGTAGTAAGAGTTAATATTTAAAGTAATATTATAATAATATTTAACTGCTCTATAGTAATTATTATAAAGGATATGATAGCCTATATAATAGTTATATATATATTTATTAAGTATAGTATAAAGCTTAAAGAGTTTTATTATATTTACTTAATTAATACCTTTAATGAAAATAAGCTTTTACTTAAAATAAATATAAAAGTTATTAAAACACTTATTTATATACTATTTAAGCTAATTTAGTTTAAAGACTATTTATTCCTTTTAATAAAGGTTTATAAATATACTATTAAAGTACTAAAGAAAGCGTTAAAGGTTATACTTAAAGGTATACCTTAGTTTAAAAAATAAAGTAATATATTCTTATATTTTTAAGCTTAAGTTTTAATAAATTAAGAACTATTTATTATAATTAATGCTAATAAAGTTTAAGTTAGCCTTTAATTTATAAGCTATAAGGCTTTATTATATTTAAAAAAAGGCTTTATTACTATTATATAGTATCTCTATAGAGAGCGGTTTATACTTAAGCTATTTTAATATAGGGACTATAGTTATTATAAAGGTTATAGATATAGCGCTCTATATTACTACCTCTACTACTACTATATAGAGGTATATCTCTATTAATTACACTTTATATTATATAACTATTTCCTAAAGAAAGTATAGTTTATAAATATTATTAAATTAACTTTAGTAGTTATTACTTATTAAGTCTATATTAACTCTACTATATTTATTAATAGTTAATAAATATTATAAACTAGCTTAAATAGCTACTATAATTTAGTATTAATAAAGTTATTATTAACTATAAAGAGAAGGGAAGTCCTCTATCTCTCTTTTCCTTTTATTAGTTTATATACTTTTAAATCTTTATATATTTACTTAATAAGGTCTTAATAGGGCCCTACTAGGAATAGTCTTTATAGAAGTATAGTAGGGCTTTATAGGTAGTATATATCCCCTATCCTTTCCTAATAAGGCTAATAAGCCCTTCCCGCATTATTATGCATCTAGGATCCGAGCCACTAGCTCGAATCCATCACATAAATAATAATAGTAACCTATCTTTAATATAGTATTTAATATAGAAAATAACTCTATATTAACTATATATTACTTTTAACTTAGCCTTTACTTAACTTTATTATATTTTTTATATTTAAAATATTAAAATTAAACTAAAAAAAGTAATAGCTTTAAAAATAAATTTTAGTAGTTTATTAATACTTATATTAATACTTTACTATAATTAAATAAAACTTAAACTTTTACTTTAAAAGAAAAGTACTTTAACTTTATTATTACTTTATTAACTTTAAATTATTAGCTTTAGTTTAGCTTTATATTAAAAAAATTAGCTTTAACTTCTTTCTTTACTTTTACTTTATTTTTAATATAAATTTATTAATATATTACTATTAAAATAATTATAAAGATATTTATTACTTTATTTTTTAATACTTTAAATATAACTATCTTTACTTTTTAAGGTTTAAAGTAAATTTAATTTAAAACTTAAAGGAGATTTATATTACCTTTAATTAACTTAATTTTATATAATACTTAATAAAGTAGCTCTTTAAAACTAATTACTTTCTATATTATTAACTTACTTTTACTTTATAAAATAAATAGTAGTAAATAATAATACCTTTTAATTCTTAATATAAGCTTAATATAGGCCCCTTTACTGCTTTATCTTTATTACTTTAAACTATTAATATATTATACCTTAGTATTTATATTAATACTAATATATAACTAAATTAAGCCTTAAATTATTTTATTTTATTTATAAAAAAATAAAAAAAAAATAAAAAAAAATAATAAAAAAAAAAAGAGAAATAAAAATAAAAGGAAAAATAAAAGAAAATAAAAAAACCTAAACTTATTAGCTATAAAGCTAGCTATAGAGCTATTTATATATCTTTATATCTCTTTTACTATAGCCCCTTTTTTAAACCTCTTTTCCTTTTACCTTACTATTACTATTATTATCCCTCCCTTTTTTATTTTTAAATCTCTTTATTATTACTTTAAAGTTAATATAAGCCTTACTTACTTTTATTAAAGACTATTTTATTAAGTTATTTTATTACTTTAATAAATAAATAATTTAGTCTATATAAACTAATATTTTATACTTAAAAATACTACTATAGCTAATAGTTATAATAAAGGCTTAACTTAAACCCTATATTAAAACTAATTTAATATTAATAAAGCGCTTAGTTATTTATTAAATAACTCTATATAAATTAAATTATATAATATTAATTACTACTATACCTTTATTAAGGGATTAAGTTAAACTTATATTAAATACTATAAAATTACTTAAGTTATACTAAGCTTAAAAGTCTATAACTTTTTATACTATATTATAAATTATTACTATATTAAATAAAGCCTACTTTAAATAATACTTAACTTAGCTTTATATTAAACCTTAAACTTACTAAATATAACTTACTAAGCTATATATATTTAAAGTAGTTTAAATTAATATTTAAAATTTAAGTTAGCTATAATAGCTTTACTATAAATTTATATTAAATATCTATTAAATTAATTATAGTAATAAATATTAAAATCTTTTATTTTAATAAAGTAAAGGAAGTATAAAAATACTTACTTTACGCTTTATATAGATTAGAGTTAAAGCTTAAATAGATATAGAGAGGGACTAAATATTTATTAAAAGGCCTTTAACTTTTAATTAATTAGCTATTTTCTTTACTACTTAAAATTAATATAATATTAAGGGTTTAAATTAGCTTTTATATAGAGATTAAAATAGCTTTATATTAAATTTTAAAAGGGAAAGGGGTATTTATAATTTTTTAATTAAGTATAAAGAGAAAAAGAGAGAAAAAGAAGGGAAAAAACCTTAAAAAGGTCTCCTTTATTTATAAAAAAAAGGTAGCGCCTTAAATTATTTACTAAATTATTTATTAGTATATTAAACTTAATTAAAAAATTACTAACTACTATTTTACTACTATACTTTATTTAAGCTACTTATTACTAAGGTTTAATTTAAGTTTACACTTAAAGGCTACTAAATTAGTAGCTTTAAATAATTTAATATATAATAATTACTTAATTTAATAATTAATATACCCTTAAACTAATAGTATAGCTATATTATAACCTAAGACCCTTTATAACCTTCTATAACCTTCTATATTACCTTATATTTTATAGTATATAGCTAGCACTCTATACCCTTTTTAATAACCTAGCTTAGCTTTAAATAAAGCCTAATTTAAGCCTATAAAGTCTTTACCCCTTCCCTTTTAAATTTAATATATTTTTATATACCTTTTTATATATATTATTTATACCTTTTATTAAACTCTTTTTAATAATTATAGCTAAAGCTTAGTTAATAATATATTAATTTTTATAATAAACATTACTTAAAGCTTAATTTAAGCCCCTTTAGCACCTATATTTACTATTATATATAGGTTTTCCCCTTTATTCTAAGGTTTTTTCTATATAAGTTACTAAGATAAAGTACTAGCTAAGGGCTCTATACCCCCTAAAGTAATTAAATACATAAATCTTTAGTCCCGTGGCGCAGTGGTTAAGCGCCCAGATGACCGCTTGCGGTCGCAGGTTCAAATCCTGCACGGGACACGGGTTTTTCTTAGTGTGCGTGCGGGGGCGGGGGCGCTAAGAAAAATCAGACCCTAATTGGCTAGAAGGGGAGTGGTGGCCCCACTTCTAGCTAATTAGTGCTTAGTCAGCAGCAAAAAAGTGGGTCTGGTCCCCCCACTTTTCTGTTGCTAACTAAGCGACGCGGATTAGCCACTTCCGCGTTATAAATGGGCAAAATTACCCCCTAGCTCTTGGGTTGCAGAGCCGGTTTGCAGCCGTAATTGCTAGGAAAAAATAGGTAATTGGGAATAAAAAAAAAGTGGGGTAGCGGTGGTATATGTTGATAACTAAAAATAAAGGAGGTATAGGGTAATTTATAGCTAAACCGGTATTTTATGGTTGGAAATAGGGACTAAAAAGCAGATTTTAAATGTATTTAGTAGGTTTTTCACCCTATTAGGCAACTAACTAATTAATAATTACTTAGGTAATTATTAATTAGCAACCTAATAAGGTTTTCCTACTAAAAAAAAAAATTAGGTGCAGAGGTTCTAGATACAGCTAAGAGCATAAAATGCTTATATAAAAAAAAAAAATAGCTGCTAGTGTACTAAATACAATACAATACAATACAATACAATACAATACAATACATAAATCTTTAAACTTAATATAGTTTTAAAAAATTTCTTAAAGAGAACTTTTATAACTTTGCCTACACTGCTATAGCAATATAGAATTAACTTTAAACTACTTAAAAAGTATAGAAAAAGATTTCTTATATTTATTTACCCCCCTTTTTAATAATATATTAATATTAAAGTATAAGTATAATAAGTATTAAAATATTAATAAATATTAATAGTAAAAATTATAATAGCTTTACCTATAGCTAATACTACCTTTATATAGGTTAAGGTAGATTTATAATAAAACTATAAGTTAAATTTATATTACCTTTAATATATAAGTTAATACTAAATTATAAAAGCTTTAAAAACTTTCGCAATTTCGCCTGCACTGCAACAACGCCGCAGAATCGACTTAGATTAACTTAAAAAGCAGATAAAAAGTTTTGCTATACCTATTTACCCCCTTTTATAATAGCGTATTAAGCTTAAAGTATAGGTGTAGTAGGTAGTGTAATAATAATAAATATTAATATAGAAAACTATAGCCATTTATAAAGTTACTATAATCCCCTTACCTACTATAGTAAGTTTATAGTAGGAAACTAAGTTAATACTATAGCTAATATAGCTTAAGACTAAGTACTAGTCTATTTATAATAGAAATACAATAAAATTACTAAGCTTATACTAACCTTTTTACTAAAAGGAGTCTAAAAGGTTGTTCTATATATTATTAACATAGAAACAATATAAGCCTATTATAGATAACCTACTAACCTTTAAGAACTAGTTATAACTATTAACCTTAAAGTAACAGTTAAAAGGGCAATTAAGAAGGCTATTTAGCCTAAAACCACACTAGCTATAATATAGGCTAAAATTACAGCTAGTAATGCTACTTTAATAACTATTAGGCTTATTTACTTAGCTACCTCTATAGCAGTATTGCCTTATATCTATAAAGAGACTATTATTAAGGGTAACTTAATTAATAAAGTAATTAAATAGCGTAGCCTAAAAGATATTATTTATACTATTAATAAAGCTATAAGTAAAGACACTATAGTAGCTATAAAGCACCTTTATAGCAGTAATATAGTAGTTACCTTTAAAGATATAGCTTAACTCTATATTAAAGATATAGAATAGATTTAAACTACCTTTAGCTTAAATATAACGCTAAACTAATAAGTATTTAGTATTATTATTAAAGGATTCTCTATTTATTATATATATTAGGTTACTAAGGAAGATATTCTCTATTACCTTACCTTTACTAATAGTAATAGTATTGCTAGGGTTATAGTGTAAAAACCTTATAGCACTGTAATATAAGCCCCCTTTATCCTTAAAATTAAAGATATTAATATAGCTAATAAACTATACTATAGAGGAGTTATCTATAAAGCTAAAATATTTAAAGCTAAACTATATAATAAAGCTCTTTACCTATACTAATACTATTAATACTTTAAATTTAATTATATTACTATATATTACACTATAACCCTATATTATAGCTACTACACTGCCGCTAAGTACGCTTTTAAGACTAACTACCTAGCTATTATAGGTATAGGGTAGGAGCGATATACTAACTATATAAACACTTACTTTACTTAATTAAAGCACTACTTAATTATTAATAACCGCTAAATAAAAGCTTACACTATATACTTAAGCTAGCTTAGTAGCTTCACTACTTTATTTACACTAACCCTTATAAATATAAATAGCTAAACTAAGGTCTAAACCTATAGCTAATATAAATAAGCTAGTAATACCCTCTTTAATAAAGCCTTACCTTAAAAGCGTAGTAAGCGCCTTTAAGGTAGCTATAATTAATATTTAAGCTTTAATATAATATTTATACCTCCTTTATTAAGGCTTTAAAGCACTATTAAGGCCTTCCTTAGCCACTACCTTAGTACTAAGTTAGCCCCTTTATTATAAAAAACCCCTTTACTCTTTAATTAAATATAATACTATAAGTAATATATTAAAATATATAAAAGAAAATATAACTTATTTATTTAGCTCTTAGGTCCTAACTTAAGACTAATTTAGTAGCGATTTAAGAACTATATAGCACTAATAAAGACCCCTTAAACCTAAGCCTAGGTTTCTACTAATTTATAGCTTAAGGTAAAAGAATAGCTATTTATATTTACTACTAACATAGCTTTAGCTTATAAATAATATAGTTTAACATTAATTAATATACTATAACCCTTTATAATATTAATATTTACTTTATTTACTCTTTTACCTACTACTATAACTAAATAACTCCTTTCTATAACTTCTTTATAAAACTACTATAACATTACTATATCTTTATTAGTAACTTTAATTAGCACTACTCCCTTTAGGACTAATATAACTATATATTACTTAGTAGTAATAAACTCCTAATAGTTATAACTTAATAGTAACTTAAGCTTATTATACTTTAAGGTAAAATAATATAGTAGGTATAAGGTAAGAGAGATAATATTATTAATTATACTTAGTTTTTTACTAACCTTTAAACTTAATTTTTAAAAGAATTAAACCTTATTAAGTCTAATTATATTCTATAGCTTATTTATATTACCTTCTATAATTATAGTCCTATAACTACTACTACTAAATAACCTCTATATTAATTTAAATAGCTTTAAATAAATAAAACGCTTACTACTATAGAGATAATACACTACTTTTACCTCTTTTTTACACTAACTATTCTTAATACCCTTTATTAAATTAACTTCTTTATTATATAGTTTATAGCTAAACTCATTACTATTACTACCTTTTTTATATTAAAGGGCCTTTATAGCTCCTTTAAAGTGTAGCTATAGTAAACCTTTAAAATCTATAAAGCTATTTATAATATAAAATATATTTAAAGACTTTAGTAATACTACTGCACTAAAGTAAGTTAATAGGCTACTATTAATATAGCTTTAAATTAAGAATAAGTTATTTATAATAAATAATATAGCTTCTAACGCTATATAGTAGTAGATATAATAGCTAAGAAAAGCAACCTTTAAAAACTAAAATAATAGACTTAACTTTATAGTAGTCTATTATTTAAAACTACTTAGGTCTTAGCTCTTTACTATAGCAGTAATAGCGTACCCTTAGCTACCTTTTATTATAATAAAGTAGAGGCATTCTTTAATAGATTTTTTCCTACTTTAACTGCCTATATAGATAATATACTAGCTAACCTTAGCCCTTAACTTAACTTTACTATATTTCTAAAGGAAGACTGCTTTATAGCCTTAAAGATATATAATATAATTAAAGGACTAGCTAGCTAAAAAGCCTTTAGACTTAATAAGCTCTTAGTAAAGTTCTTTAAAGCCTATAGTAAACTACTTATTAGCGTCCTCTTTAACCTACTTAATATATACTGCTATATTAAGTACTACTTAGCCTTATTTTAAAAGGCTAAAGTTATAGTCTTTTATAAGCTAGAAAAGTTACTAAAGGAAAGGAAGCACACTAATATATAGAGATTAATCTCCTTTTTTAGCGTTATAGGTAAGGTATTAAAAGCAGTAGTAGCAGTATAAATTACCTATATAGCTAAGGAGGGCAGCGCTCTCCTAAAACTTTAAATAAGTAATTACATTAATTATTCTATAGAGATAGCCTTTACTATTTTAATAAAAGCTATATATATAGTATAGTACTATAGCAGTATTATATTACTTCTTTAGCTTAATATCTTAGCTACCTTTAATATAGTATATTATATAAAACTTACTTATATAATAGTCTCTACTAAACTCTCTATATAAATAATACACTAAACCTAAGCCTTTATTATATTATATAAAGCTTACTTTATATTTAATAGCTAAATAGCAGCCCCCTATATAGTACTTATAGAAGTCCTTTAAAGGTCCTTTATATCTTTAATTCTCTTTCTTCTTTATATTGCCTTACTTTACACTAAGCTTATAATAGTTAACTTTACGCTAATACTTAGCTTTTTTAATAATATTAATATCTTAATATATAGCTATATAATAAAGGAGACCTAGGCTTAACTTAAAACTACCTAAGTAGTTTATTAAAAATAATTCTATAAATTAAGCCTAAAGTTCTATTAATAGAAAAGTAAACTTATTTACTTTAGTAGGAAAAGATAGTTAATAATAATACTAATTTAACTTAAGATTATAATAGTTTAGTTAGTGTAGTTAGCCTATTTCCTTAGTATTTAAATTTACTATAAACTTTAATAAAAGGCCTATTAGCTTAAGCTTACTATAAAACTAATATAATAGTAACTTACCTTTACTACACTCTTTATATTTATTTAAAGGTACCTATTATATAAGTTTAGACTCCTCTATACTTAAGTTATTTAAAGCTTTATTAGCTATAGTATAGATTTATATTATA